AATATTTGGCGTTAGGGAAACACTCGGAAACAAACGGTTACGGTCTGAAATCTATTAATGTAGTGATTCAAAGGGTTTTTTTTAGCGGTGTTAACCTCTCGAGTCACCTTTGGTTATCAATAATGCTCATTTGAAAGAGTTTTGAATGAATAACAAAGGGTTGCGTGGGTATTTTGTAACAGAAAAGAAGTACAAGTGTCTATAAATTTGTATTTGCCATAGCTGTTTTGTGAAAAAACAATCAGACATTTAACACCTTGAGCTGTTGTGCTGCTGATTTTGATTTTTTTTTAATTATATGTTGTTTGTCAGTATTACATTGTTGTAGTTTTCTGCCCCATAGCATGCCACATAGCACCAAGATGATGTGTTCAACGCAAACTTTAGAGGAACCTGAGGTGGTACTCCACTTCGACCCCATTGCTGTAGGGTGGAGAGGTGTCTCTCACCAAGACAAGGGTATTCTCTCAATGGAACTCACATCTGTGTGCAACACACTGCTTCAGGTAAAGTAGTAAATTGTTCTCAGTAAATTGTAGCACGGCACTACTTCTTATCCTTTTCTCCCTAGGTTTTAGTCCATATCCCTGCTGTTGTGCATTGGCTTTCGACATCAAATCATCCCGCTAGCTGCAAAGTAAAAAATGGCTGTCTACTGTGTGCTTGCTGCAGTGTTCTAATGCAGCTTGACGTGGAAAGTGTTGTCAAACCTGATGAATTTCTCAATATAATGAAAGGTGCGTACATATCTGCTACATATCAGTTTGTCAATGTAATATTTCCTAATATATTTTTTCTTGCAGATGCCTGTGATGATCCTCAGGTTGTTGTAGAGGACATACTTTTGAGATTACACTCAGATTATATGAGTTTGTACTCCACAGTCCGGTTAGTAATTCTTATAAAGTGAACCTCCTATGTGTTAAGAAACAAATTTTGATAATTTTTTTAAATTTGTTGCAGTGTGAGTATCTGGAGTGAGAGAACTTCTCCCCCATTCCAAATCTTTGGTGGACTATGGAAATTGTCAGGTGAGTGTTTATTACACTTGGATAAGTAGTGATTAAATTTTTGGGTGTAGTGATATGTGTTAACATTTATTTGCAGCTCCTTGTTGTGGTGTTACGTACAAGCCTTTCTTCACACTGAAAGTACCTCTAAGTGCACAAACTATCCAGTTATGCTTAAATGGCTTGAAGGCCTGTGACGTTTGTGAAGTATGTGACTGCCCCGACATGTCTATCCCCACTGACTGTAGTCTTCACACTGCCCCCGCTGTCTTGATCCTTAATTTGAAGAGGTGTGATCTATTCATAGTCCTTTCCTATTCAACTACTGACACTAACTTAAATTGAGTTTACTGTATTTTTAATTAATTTACAGATTTTTAGATGACAACTCTTTTTGTGCCAAAAATGTTATTATCCAGCCAGAGATAACTCTTCTGAAACAATATTTGTACTGCCTCCGCTCTGTTGTATTTGTGAATGGCACCTCACCTGATTTGGCAAACTTTTACCCTGTAACAGTTTGCCCAATGGGAGTTTACAATGAGTTCACTGATGCTGCTGTAAGTATCTAAATTTGAAACCTTGTATAATTATTCTGTCCCTCTATGGCTAATGCTATCATTTGTTAAATTTCAGTTTAAGAAAGTTTCTGTAACATCACTTATTGCCAAGGAAAGATATTTACAGACTTCTTATATGGCTGTTTATGAATTAACTAAGGTAACTGAAATTTATTTAAGCACCGGTGACATTTTAAAACACATTTTATTTGCAGATTGAAAACTT